TGGTCCAAAAGAGAGCAACCTAGGTAAAGAGGTTCGGGACGAGATCTCTGCAGAAATCGATGTGGCGGTCAGCAAGCCCGGATCTATCCTCCAGAAGGTGCTCTGGTTGTGGGTTTTAGGGATTTTGATTTAGTTTCATCATCATGAGTCGCGTTGTATTTGTTGTGGGCATGATGGTGTTGTTCACTTTTCTTCTTCCCCGGCAAGGGGGCTCGTAATGATCTTGCCATGTCCCGCGGTCTCTCCACTGCAAAAATGAGTCGAGTGCTCAGGAGGCGGCGGTCTGCCTTCTAGATTCTAGCCCTGCAGAAAGAAGGGGACAGAGAGAGAGAGAGAGAGAGAGAGAGAGAGAGGACAGCCCGCGAATAGCGGGTGTGCGCTTCGCACGCCCGCCAATTCCCAAGCTCGGTAGAGAGAGAGAGAGAGAGAGGGGAACTTCCCCTTCGCCATAGCCCTGGCGAAAGAAAGAGAGAGAGAGAGAGAGAGCGAGAGAGGGAGGGAGGGTGTGCCTCATTGCTGCCATCTTCCCATATGCTTATGACCCTTAAACCCCCCACGAGAGAAGTGAGAAGAGCATGGTAGGCCGACTTCGACTCTGGCGTTCGGAGATATCTCGGAGCACTGCGTGGCTGCCAGAACGGCAAGCCGGGAGCTCGGGCTTTGAGTAAGTCTCGAATATTATTATCATTAATAACATTACTTCTGTTGTTGTTATTACCATTTTCTCATTAATTACGGCTATTATTATTGTTACTACTAGTGTTATTCTTACTATTTCTTACTATTCTTATTACCATTAGGGTATGGCTATTACTATCATTATGTAAAACAACAACAAACGCAGTTGCATAGCGGCAGTCGTAACACGACCATTCATTATGGTATGTTGGCGCAACATCACTGACACCCAGGCAGAAGGTGAAGGATGCTATGGCCGGGCCCCAAGACGTGCGATGAGGGGCTGACCGTGGCTTACGTGGCTGACTTGCCCAGTGCAAGCCTCCTCTCTGGCTCATGAGGCCATGCTTCACCATTATACTGCCCAGAAGATGAGATCTGCGGTGAAGAACTGGCCAGCCTACCTGCTATCTGGCAGCAAGCTGGGCAGACATGTTAAAGATGTTGACCCTTGACTAACACCCTTCAGTCTCCGCGCTTCCCTCGGACCCCGAACAAGCCCTCCACCGCGCCCTGGTTGTCTGGACTGCAACACAAAACTAGGCTGGTAGGATGGTGGAGCGACCCGCATTGATTGACCCTGGCCATGATGCTGACTTTCGGGACCTATCTCACGATGACCCCCATCACTGCGGATGACGCGCATGAGGTTCTTGCCCTAGAGAAAGCAAAACAAAACCTTACAACTCTGGCTTATAGGTCCTCAGTCTCTGGACAAATGCAAATGGTACATCTGCAAACCTGCTGGAGGATCCATAATTTCGCCTTCAATCTTCAGCCTCGTTGGAGTTGGAAGCCCTGCAAGCTTGTCACTGTAAGCCCTATATAAGGCAGGTTCCGACCCCAACAGAATGCCCTAAATACTCGGATCCTTATTACAAGGCCCACAATAAGGTACCCATACTTTTCGGAAACTCCCATATGGAGACCCCTAAGCACCCCTAGATAAGCCCAGCAGAGCTCCTTCTGGGCCTACTTGGAGGGTCCGAGGACGTAGTAAGTAGGTAACAAGTAGAGTTGCAACTGCCCTAAGTGGGATCCGAATTGCGCTTATGGTACTTATAATTAACTCTATCAAATAACTGCAGTACTTGTATACTAAGTCCCCCGACCCTGCAAGTGCTTAGAATCCCCGAACCCTGAAGTTTGCAAGACCTCGTCTGGCAGAGTCCGAGCACGAGAGCGTAAGCTTAGAAGACACCCGAGGCTAACGCTGCTGAAGCGATTCGAGCCGGGCCTCCTCAGCAAGGGCCTGGGTAAAGGAGACCGATGCATGGCTCTTCGAACGTGGGTTTTGGAGTTAAGGGTTTATTGTTTAGGGGCGCCTCGGTTCCTGGCATATGCATACTCGAGGTGTTGAAAAAGGGATTAGGGGTTGCAAATCGAGAAGTGTACCAAGTTCAAAAAGGGATCAGTAATTAGGGGTTTAGGATCTAGGGCTTCTGTGGTTTATGAGTTATGAGGGTTAGGCTGGCATGAGCGTATGTGCTTTGCAGCGCAATTTAGGTAATATCAAGACAGGGTATTGGGTGATTCACTGGGCTAAACGCTTGTGGTGTTGCGGATTGTGCATTTTTCTTACCTGACACAATACCATGGGACAAGGGCTGAAAGGCTTTGATGTTGTGGAATTCTGTTTGTTGGAAACTCCCAGATAGCCACGTACCAATATGTACAGCGGCTTGTTTGTTTGTTTTTCGCTTGTTCGTTAGTTTGTTTGATTGCTCGCTTGCTAGTTTGCATGCTTGCTTGTCTGCTTGCTTGCGTGCTTGCTTGCATGCTTGCTTGCTTGCATGCTCTCTTGCGTGCTGGCGTGCTTGCTTGCATGCTTGCTTGCGTGCTTGCTTGCATGCTTGCTTGCTTGCGTGCTTGCTTGCTTGCTTGCTGCTTGCTTGCTTGCTTGCTTGCTTGCTTTCTTGCTTGCTTGCTTGCTTTTCCTTCGTGTGTGCGGTGTGAGTGGCATCTTCAGTGAATGGGATGTTTCGACATGACTGTAACTCTGGCCCATGTTTTCAATCATTCGGGCTTCCAGCCCGCACCGAAACTCAAGATGTTTCTGGGGCTGCCAAGACAAGCTAAGGAAAAGGGGAGGACGGCAGGAGGCCGGCAAGACACGGCTGTGGTGTGAGAGTGTGTGTGTGTGTGTGAGTGCTTGCATATAGTTCTAATACACATAATGCACACACGCCTTGATGATGATACGGCAGAGAGAGAGAGAGAGACAGACACATATCATTTATTTGTTTATTTATTACATATGTATATATGTATGTATACATACATATATATACACACATATTCTCCAAGACACACATGCACATATGTCTTCTCAGTTGTCAGCCCATTTGGCCTCCCAGCTGGGATAGCTGACTTGGCCTTCTTGCGCTACTCTGAGCCTCCCGCTGTGTGTTGGTGGAGATCTAGCGGGTTTGCCGTCATTTGTACGCGCATGGTTGGCTAAATGTGCTGTCTCATTGCTTGTAGACCAGGTTAGCCAGGAGCTCAGGTTAGTGGAAGCCTCTAGGCCCAAAGAGCCCTGATAGAACCCTTATGATACCCTTGCAGGAACCCTTACAGGAACCAATTTGGGTTTATTCAGTGTCCGAGTTTTGTGCCGTCACAGGCCACCATCCGCTGCAGAGGCTGCGGCGTTTGGACTGCCAGGTGCGATTTCTGAGGGGTTCTTGACTCGTTCTTGAAACGGTTTAGAGTTTAGAAATCCAGCACTTGCAAAGTTCCAAGTGTTAACCGACTGCGAACAAAGAGACTTCGTCTGGCTGGGCGGTGCCCGAGTTGCGAGAGCCAGACTCTAAACCGACTGTCAAGCACACTGCACCAGAGACCTCGTCAGGCATGTCCGAGTTGCGAGAGCGTAAACCCTAAGTTTAGGGTTTTAGTGGGCCCCAAACCACTCGGGGCTGGCCCTGAAGTTACTGTAGTGTTCTTACGAACTCCAAAGGGTCAGGATTTGATAGCATTGGGTTTACTATATTATTATGGTTCGAAGGGTGTTTGAGTTTTCTGCAGCGTGAAGCAGCACCTGATGTGGGCCAGCATGTCACGATGTGGCTTTCACGGCCTCGCAATGCAGGCTCCAGCGTAGGGATAAATGTGGGAGTTTCAGAACTTAAGCTGAGGGCCCAGCTTGCTGTAAATTCGAGGTTCCTTACTAGATTAAGGACACCTAGATGAAGTAACTGCCTCCTTCTTGTAATAGTTAACGTCGTATTTACATACTTAGCAATGGGCTTCGGAAGCCAAGATTTGCCGGAACCAGTGGTGGCATGGTTCAAGAAGGACCAAACAGACGCTTCAAGATATCGGGTTTACGAGTTCAGGGTGTTGTAAGGCCTCGGGCTATAGACCTTCGGATCGGGTCCGTTATTGACGCAGGGACGAAGACGCCCTCGGAGAGGACCATACACCACCCAAACTCCCAGACAGGGTAGTTTCAGCTGGCCATTACCTCCAAAATCCCCAAAACGAAAACCATGGAAGCACCGGCAGGTGCATCTGACAGAGGGCCACTAGCATTCGGGAAGCCCCTCATGAAGCTTTCGGAGGCAGGGGTGGGCATGGGCGGCGGGGAGCAAAGCAGCATGATTTAGCATTGGGTCAGTCGGTCTTGCAATTAGCCGCAGGTAATGCGCAGCTACAATCTTTCACCCGCTGTTCGGCTTCAAACATGCATGCCAGGTCTCATTGAAAGGATGACTATCTGAACTGCTTCCTCCCCCAAAACTCTTGAGGTTCTCTTCAGAAGCCACTGCACACATCGGCAGTCTCATTCTCACGCTCCAAAGACGCTGCGCCATGGCCTTTGCCACAGAACACCCGGTCCACCCAGCCCAAGTGAAGGCAGGGCCGCTGCAGCTCCGAGGCTTTCAGACATGGAATCAAGAGATGTTCTGTGGGTATACATCTGACTAACTAACAACTTAATAACTTTTGTTCGTAATTCGTTACGATATCACCTTGTCGTCTTGATGAATTCATGCAGTTTTGCATGGTGATCCTACATATACCACGATCGTCTGCTTCAATTGCTTGACCCTCAAGGGGCTCGCTGTTGCTCTTGTGTCGTTAAGTGCAGTTTGCTTCAGACAGCCGGTGGGCACTCTTGTTCTTCGATGCGCTGATGCAGTGGGCTCTGCAGCCACGCATTGGGCATTTTGTTTTGAAAGCACAGCTAAAGGACAGCACGCGAAGTTATCCCAGTTTTGCAACGGTTTCACTCACCTGTGGGGGAACTTGTTTGGAGTTACACAGACATTCCGTCTTCTGGGGTTCCAGTACCTACTCTAGACTTCCCGCCGAACGCCATGGCTCCAAGCAAGAAGAGGCCAGCTGCGCAATCAAGTGGCCTGCGCAAGAAACCTGCAGCAAGGCATGTGGACACGGACGACGAGGAGGAAGAAGAGGAGGAGGTAGGAGATGAAGGGGAAGAGGAGGAGGGGGAGGAGGAAGAGGACGACGAGGACGAGGAAGCAGAGGAGGAGGAAGACGAAGAGGATGACGCGATCGCTGCGCGCAAGAAGCGAGCTTCCAAAGATGAAAAGCCCAAGAGCCGGTCCATGAAGGTGGGATTTAAGGTTGGCCCGGATCTCTAAGATACAAAGCCCACAACTGCCGTAAGGCCCTACAGTAAACCCCTAAACCCCTATAAGCCAGGTAGGGTTTAGGGCTTGCAGGCCCCAAGATCTATAAAGCCCGAAACTGCCCTAAAGCCCCGAACCCTCAAGCATCCCTGAAGGCTCCTCCAAGCAAGCGGGAGGCTAAGGCCGCTCTCCGAGAGGCCCTGAAGAAGAAGAAGGCCGTGGATCGTTTCTTTGTCATAGTTGGGGAATTTTTTGCATGCTTATGGGTACTTAAAAACCCAGTAATGGATACAGATTTACATCTTGATTCCTATCCCAAGCATGAACTAGGTTTAAAGAAGGAGATCAAGCCTTTGGCACAGAAGCTCAAGGCAAAACGGGAGGAGCTACGACTCGCAGATCAGGAGTTGGAGAAGCTGAGTGCAGCCGCTAACAAGCTGGGAAAGGCTATAGAGAAGGAGACGAAATCAAAGGAGCTCCGACGAAAGAAGCGTGCCCGGGTCATCAAGAAAAATGCCGGCGAGCGGGTGCGGAGCTTGCGGGAGAAGCTACATGAAGCCAAGGCAGACATAGCAAAGTTCAAAGCTGCAGAGGCACAGGCAAAGACGAAGCTCGCTGCTGCTCAAAAGGAGTCGCTCCGGCTCCAGTTACCTGAAAATTTCAGAGTTATGCCCAAAAACGCCTCTACATAATAGGTCAGACCTGCCTCCTTTCTGTAGAGTTTGGAGCTCAGGTACAAGCAGCTCCAATCCAAGGGAGATCAGTACAGTCACCATGGCTTTAGTGCCTGGCCAGGCCGTTGGGATATTTTCTATTTTGCTTAGTGGGGTTGGTCAGTAGGGAGACCTTATTATGGGGTCCTTGTAATAAGGATCCTACTATTCAGGGTACTATATATATATATATATAATGTATATAGGGTTACAAGGATGTTCTGCACCCTAAGATCTGAACCTGAAAACCCTGGAATGGTTGAGAGGTTGAGGGTTTAGGAATTATCAGATTTCATAAACACTCCATAGACCCTAAGCCGAATTCAGGGTTATAGACCCCATATAAACGCTAAAGCCCTAAGTTTGCAAGATGTTTTCAAGCCCACGCCGAGGTGCCAAGCGAGCCATGGAGGCTGCCAAGGCAGACTTCGAGAAGGCCAAGCTCGGCTTGGCGCACGCCTCGGACGCCCGAGACCGCAACAAGCTCCGAGGTTTGTCGAGGTTTTGGGTTTTGGGGGTTTATAGGGTTCCGGGTTTAGTCGAAAGGGTCGAGGTTCTGGGGTTTAGTGAGGGGGTTCCGGGTTTAGGGCTTAGGGTGTGTTTATTATAAGCACGCAGTCATCACTCTTAGTATCTCTTAGTCATATGCCGTGTTCAAGCTGTTGTTAGTATTGTTGCTGTGTAAAGAACCACCGAACCGATTTTTTCAGTTTTGGGTCAGTTTAGATTAACCGCAGTAACACTAACACTACTTAGTGGTATGTGTTATAGTGAGAGATTTCATGCTGATCATAGGCAAGACGCCGAAAACTTCAGGATGCCTTCAAAAGCTCCCCGCCCTCCAACGAAGGAGGGCTTCGAGAAGTGCCGGGAGCAGCTGGAGACTGCGCAAGAGAAGATCTCTCAGATCAAGGCTGTTTCATGCTTGGGGAGCATTGCTAACCCGAACCCTGTAAAGCCTTTACTGACAACCCCAGGCTTCTTAGATGGAAAGATTTCATCATTCGGGCCTTCTAAGGAGGAGGGTTTATGGCTATATAGCTGCGACAGCTGACATTGAGCCCAGGAGAAGTCGCAGAAGCCCAGTGCCAGTGGTTCCACCAGCGCTGGTGGGAAGGTGATGAAGCGTCCAGCGGCCCGAGCGGGATAGCAAGCATCCTGCGTAAGATGTTCTGCCTGCACATTGCGAACGGCCGTGCTCATGGGTCTCAGCTCGCTGTACAGCTGTGCAAGAACACAGACTGATGGCGTGTAAGATTGTACAGTGTGCAGTGCCAGCACTGTAGTCAGACGTGGCTGCGACAGTCGACCAAGACAGTCGCCGGGGAACCTGCAATGGCTGTGATTTGGAAATTGGGGATGCCGTTGTTCTGGAGAAAAGCGTCGCCCAGCGACCCTGGGGCATGCGCAAAATCTTTGAGAGATGCATGTTTGGCTGCTAGCTGCCACAGGCTTCAACGAACAATGGCCTGATCCTGGAAATCCCCCGACAAGAACCGAGAGAGCCCGACACCTTTAGCTCAGGAGTATTACATTAGGCCTTCGAGCCGCAGGTAGATATGACCGAAGAATACCGAAGAAGTAGTCAGGATAGTGCTTTGTTAAGGATTAATACATCGATTCTGAAGCTAAGGGCTATTAAGGTCTGACCAACTAGCAATAGTATCCCCTGATAATCTCCATATAAAAAGACTATATTGCGTAGTATCATCCCAAAACGCATTCAATTAAGGCCCCTTTGCTAAAATTCCGCACACATGTGAAGAGGCTACAAAAGCCGGACTTATAACCTTACTTACTAAGTCCCCTGATCCTCCCAGAATTGCTTCGGGCGCTTCGGGTCTCCAGGCGCCTTGGTTGAGAAGGTGACCGACCACCCAACTGAGCATCCGTGAAAGCTCGCGCACGCGCTCGCCGAGCCACGGGGTTTATAGCGTAGCATACGATACTAAACTGTACGAAACTGTACTGCTCTCCATTGTATGTCAAACTATAAGGTACTATTGATACCATACTCTAGTGAACATCAGAACGCTCGAACATGGGTCAAGGATGGCTTTCCACTTTGCCTTAGGAGGATGAGGGTAATGCTGTTCAAAGCTTAAGGCTTCTACTGTCGAGTTTTAGACGGACTACCGCGAGCTTCTTCGGATGGCTGGCCCGCGGCAGGAAAAAGAAGACTCCATAGTCGGCTGTGGTTTCATGTACATTGTTTAGTAAGAACACAACTTTTAATGAGGACACTTGAGATCCTGAATGGAAAAGCTCAATGTCACAAGATGTCTTTCCAGATTTCACTATGTATAGGCAATTATGTACGTTGTAAGAACACAAAGACATATTACTGACGAACACCGTGGTGATAAGTTAAACAATGATGTATCCCAGCGAAGATTACGTTTCAGCAATCGCAACAGTAGCAGCAATAGTCGTAGCATCAGTGGCGTGGTGAATCAGATGCAAAACTGCCTGCACCAGGATTTTCTCAAGATCATCTTATACCATGATACACTCATGCGCATATGACCAAGCCCAGGTATGTGCGAGAACATAGATGCTCACTACTGCAAAGGAAGTCAGCGCGCAATCCGAAGAAATCCTCCTCGTTTTGTGGTGAAGTCCTACAGTCTTCCATAGTCAGCATGCAGCGTTTGGCGACAGTGATGGGTTTGTTACCTCCCCAAAGTCTGCGTGAGGCCCAGCTGCCCGTGTCCAGAGCGGCAAAGCAACGGGAGGAGGTTGCAGAGGCCGAAGGGTGTTTGCCAAGGGCATGTACATGGGTTCCAGAAGGATCTAGGGTTTTAGGGTTCATGGGGTTCGGGTGGGTTAGGGTTGCGGGTAGAATGTAGAAGGCTGACTAGTTAATTGGTAAGACCATGGGATTTCGTATAAGAACTATAGGGCATAATATACCCTGAGGCTTCGTCTAATTACAGAGACCCCTCTATTAAGGTTTTATGATATGAGGTTTCGTTTTCAAGATTTCGAGCTTGGTGGTTTAGGGTGCTAGACCAGATAAAGCAGCCCGTCTTCGGGTCAATGCCTTCGGAAGGCTGAGGGTGCAGTGCGGCTGAGGATTTCAGATCAAGTAACAAAGCGCTTAAGAGGGTGGGGTTGATAGGAGTTGAGGATGTATCAAGTTTGTAGGTTTTGCCAGTCATCTATGCTCGACAGGTGCTCTCCCGGATCGGTTGACGGTGTCCGAACTCGTGCTGTAGGATGTAGTATTGAGGTCCTAGGATTCTGAATTTGTGGTGGAGTGGGTCTGGATAGGACTCGTTTTTTGGTTTCTTGTGATGCAGTGCAAGGCGATCTTAATTCACGTGATGGAACTTTCCGCTCTTGTGTTTATTGCCGGTCAGCACATCTCCTGCTTCCTTCAGCGGGCAAGTGCTGTGAAGCCCTACGCCAGAGAACCTAGACTATGAACCCTAATTAAACTAAACTACCTACATAAACCATTTGAGAAACCCGAAAGCTCATGTAACATTGACCCGGAGCAAGTGGACAGAACGACAGTAGTAAAATAGACACGAGCAAAAATAGACAAGAGCAGAAAGGAGGACTACATACACTAAAACCGAATACCGAAGACATCAGCAACCGTACTGCGGGGGCACTCGAAACCTTCTGTTTTCCTGTATGTTTGCTCCAATATAGAAAGTTTTAATAATAGTATTATGCCTTACGGCCTTTAGGTGCGGAGTATAGTCTCCACGTCGGCTATATTGTATCTCTTCTAAGGAACTCCAGGGAACCCTACTCAATTAATCAGGCTCCTATGTTAGCTGCAGATTGAATGGGACCCAACTCCCTGCGGAACTGGCAGTGCAGGAGGGACACACACACACACAGAGGACAGACGTGCTAGCCTCGCAGGTGACTCCTGTCAAGCTCTCTGACGTGTGACACACACAGGAAGACCCCGCGCTCCAGATGACTGTCCTGCTTGTTCGCGTTGATGTTCTGTTTCCTTGAGGGCTTACCCTTCAGGGTTTAAGTTTAGACTACATGAGCTAATTAAAGGTAGACCAAATGAGGTCATTCAAAAGAAGGGTTGCTGCTATGAAACCAGCTCGGAAGGTGCTGCCCCAGTTCTGGACGGAGGGCCGACAGCCTTTGCTTCGGGAGGCCGGTCTCCCTAGTCAAAGCTCACCCGAAAACCCGCTAGCGTTGAACCCTCAACCCTAAATAACCCCTAAAACCCTACACCCTTAAACCCTAAATCCCTTCGGGGATCAGCCGCTAAAATTGGAACGATACAGAGAAGATTAGCATGGCCCCTGCGCAAGGCTGACACGCACAGATCGAGAAGTGTACCCAATGGGTGCTGAAAACCCTAAACCCCCGAACCCTAAAACCCGACATCTTCCAACCCTAAAAAAACCGTAACTGTTGTAACTTCAATGGTTTCGGCATTCCGGGAAGATGCTAGGGTCGGGGGTAGGCTTCCGGCTTTTCCAGTCGGCAGCAACTTGGCAGTAATAATAACAAATATAGATATATTAGCAATAACAATAGTAGGTAAAATGGTCGTAAGGTATCCGTGGCCTGATAGACCCTCTCTCTCTCTCTCTCTCTCCCAGGCATTCGGCCTGATAGACCCTAAACCCTTAAACCCTAAACCCTGAACCCTGAGTCGCAAGCTCCACAGAGGAGGCTCGGGGTCAGGGCTGATATCGGGTTTTCCCGTTGAGATGGCCTCATTCGCTTCGGTAGTTTAGGAGTTTAGGGTTTAGGGTCTATGTGTGACGATGCCTTTTCGTTGTGAGCCTTGACTGCCTTATGCAGGCGTGAGCGAAACCAAAATGAAGCTCATGAAGCCTTGCCTGCCTTGTGCGAGTCGACAATCCGACAAGCCAAAAACCCTGAAGCCTTAAAACTATTAAACCATAAGTTAAAGCTGATTGTAAAACTATATACTAGTAATGTAGTACTCTGAAAGTCAATCCCAAAGCCTTAAACCTGACAAGCATGACCCTGATGCACACGCCCATGAAGCCGAAACCCGGTTGCTGGAGGTCTCCCATGCTCTTTCTGCAGACATCATCAAATCTCCCTTCACTGGGGAAGCCTTAGATCTGCAGGCCGCTCTAAGCTGCTGTGCTATATCGGAGCTGCGCTGAATACATGTATCTCTCTCCATGGTATGCACTGTGCACGTCTTATACAGACATACACACGCGCACACATATGCATATATATATATATATACACATGTATGTATATATATATATATATATATGTGTGTGTGTGTGTGTGTGCGTGTGTTGACTGCGACGTCCGCTACGAACTGTTTTTCATTATCCTTCCTCACAGTATGGTTCTTGCGCATGGGCTTCTGCACGTAGACCAGCTGTTAAGGTTGGGCATGTGTACATGGTGTCGCCTTGTTAAGCTTTATGCGTTCGAATAAGGTGTCCAACATGGAATAGATCGGACTTCGGGTTTCTATTCGTTTCTGTGGAGTCTAATCAACAGAGAACTGTGAAGGGCATACGCTCTGGGTGATCATCTGCAAACTCTCCCAACGAGTTGATGTGGTGTAGTGTTGGCATTCATAAGGTCCAAGCGCAAAAACGGCTAGACCCTCTGGATGCAACAGGAGAGAGAGAGAGAGAGAGAGAGAGAGAGAGAGAGAACGTAATACTGTGCGCACCTACAACAGGGGCGGCCCTCTGGGTGGGGGCTTGCCCTCAAGCCTTGCGAAAGAAAGAGGGAGAGAGAGAGAGAAGCGCAAAGACGGGCCATTCAGAATAGAATTAGCGTTGCGGGACCAGTTTGTCAGCCTGCAGATTCCAAAGATTTTACAAGCCATTATCGAAGGGTTCTATTCAGCAAGTTGTAGTTCGGACTCTTGCAATCTGGGAAGCTTAGTATGGAGCGACTATTATAACTGGGACGTGAAGGAAGCGCTGGTTGCTCCTGTGGCAGCGGCCTTGTCGACTGGCAGGACGAAGCGAGGGTTGCGGACTTATGGCTTTGACTGTCTCTGCTTTTCGGATGGGGCCTTGAACACAGCATCACAGAAGTCAGTTTTACTTGAGAGCCGCTACTATCATGATGAGTTTGGCAGGAATGCAGCTCCGGAACCAAAGTCGTTCTTATGGAGGCACACTCCTCACAGCTGCTGAACGACACGGCAAGGGAAGTCGACTTGGACGAGCGTCAAAGATGGAGCTTGACATATACACATATGTATATATGTATGTACGTCCAGTATAGTTGATGTTGTAAGCCAGTGAGCTTGCGTAAAGAGAATAGAGTTGTAGTCTCCCAAAACCTCGTCTGACTTTGTGAGTGACAAAAATGTACGTCCATGATATTAATATATATATATATATAGATAGATAGATAGATAGATAGATACACATGTGTGCCTCTGCCGTACTATGTCCTCCCTCAACCCCGAAACCCCAAAGCCTAACCTCTCGCACACCTCCCCTTTCCAGCAACCCCAGCAAACATGAGCAATCAGCAACGCTTGACGGCTTGTGGATCTTAATCAGGCTGCCGGATTTCGGATCTACGGTTTAGGACCTAGGGTAAGTTTTATTTTAGATGAGTTGGGGGTTTAGGATCTCGGACTCAGTGCAGGTGAGGCGGGCATGAGGCCATGTGCACTGCAGTCCCCCCCCCCTCAAAGAAAGGCTTCAGGGCACCGACTTCGAGTGGAACGACTTCAGACAACCGAGGCATTGTAGGGGCCTGAATAATCGCCGACAGTGGTCATTAAGGTTCGTTACAGTAGATTAAGTAATCTGCTAACACTATAACATACCCCGAGAGCCTACTCAAATTCCTTAGGCCCCTGTACTAACAACGGTCATACTCCCAGCCGTCAGGCCCCATCGAAAAGCCAAATTACAGCTTTATGCCTTTATGCAAAATCGTCAAGTTCCCGGTTTCGGGTATACTCACTTAAATTTCCCTAAGCCCTAAAGCAACAGCAGATACCAGAATACCCCTAGAAAATAGTCTTATCGGACCAGCCTTGCATCAGGTACGCCCAAGGCGTCGCGGCCTGTCGGGATCTTATGGACTGTCCGCGGGCGCTGGCCGCGGCGCAGCATGCAAAGGCGCAGGGGTTTGGGGCTTAAGGCTTGGGGTCTTTAGGGTTCGGGTTTATTCTGTTCAGGGTTTTGGACGATCTCCTTTGTAGGGTTCCGTCAGTTTCGCGTCCCCTTGGTCCGATCTAAAGATATCTAAAGTGTGGGGCGCAAACTCCAGCAGGCCCCCCCTTTTTGCGTGCCAGCGATGTAGACATTGCCGGATCATACTTCATGTTGTGGGGTAAGATTAAGCTGAATTTTGTCCTGCTTGGAGGACCAATCTACAGAAGGAATTAGCCAAACTCGCAGGGTAGGAAAGGGTTCAAGTGGAAGTACACCTTGGAGTCTTGCCTGATCCATGCATTCTGGTTCATCCGAAGGAAGGAGAGCATTGCAGGAGCCAGTCGCCAGCCGGCTCTCAATGAGATCAGGTTTGGTTGTAGGGAATAGAGTTCTACAACTTGGAGTTTGTACTCTGTGATAGCAGGGTTCATTCAAGACCGAAGATGTACCCCGCCTGTGAGCAGGACGTCCCTAAGTTGGGAACCTTGAGCCTGCAGACTCGAAACCTTCGAGTTCTGGTCTTACAGCCTGAACATGGGCCTCCCACCATCCGGTCCAGGCCTAGCCTGACTCATTTTTTTTCCTCCAAGTCCGACACTTGCCCTAAGAACCCGGATCCTTAAGCTTCAAACTTTCTACACCCTACAATCTTGAACCCCGAAGCTTCAAGCTCCAAACCCCTAAATGCTGAAATCCTACAACGTTAGCCCCAACACCCGTACAGCTCTAGACCCCGAACCCTCTAACCTTAACCTCAAGATTACAGGGCCGGAGGAAGGGGGCGATTGAGCAACACACAGTGAAAGAGTGAGCGAGAGCCCAGAATCAGGCAGCGTGTGCAACACATACTGCCGAAAGTGCATGCAAACATGATGCCGATGCGGCAAAGCCAGAATCCCTTAGGGACATCGCCTCCTGCATCAGTATTGGAGAGTCCAGTATCGCATCCTGCATCGTAGGTTCGTCCTAGCCAGGCGGGAGGCAAAAAACCTCAATACGCTGAGAATTCCAAACCCATGACCTACATGACTACCTGTGACTTTCAGTTGAGTGCAGGTAGAGGACTTGGCGGACCTCTCTGAGGACAAGTTGAGAGCTTGGGGACTTGGTTTAGGGTCTCAGTGTTGGGTAAAAATGGTTAAGGGTTTCAAACAGATGTTATGTATGTGTGTATGTATGTGTGTATACATATAGATATATATATATATATATATATATATATTATATACAATCACCCCAAACCCCGCCTGCATTGCCGACTGCGAGTGCTAAAATATCTACACATACAATTCGGTATACTTAGCAATGCTAAAATGTACGTATTCTGCTTAGCAAGGTATCATTGGTAGAGACCGTCTAACTGACGATATTGCTGAGACATATTAAGCTACTTAACGAAAGTAATTATGGTTTTGGGACGAGTCGATTTGGTATGCTTGTGGAAGTGGCCTGAATCCCTGCATCGGCGAGCCCTTTCCAGGCTCAGGCAAGAGCCGTCATCTGCGAAGTCTCGTGGTGAATTGGTGGGTTTATGGTTGCTGGGTTCATGGGCTGAGGGCTTACGGGTCTGAACGGTTTAGGGTTTAGGTGCACGTCGCGATCGGAAATCGGACATGCTACTTCGCTGGCCAAGTCCCTTCGCACCGGGTGAGTTTGCAACATTGTCCATATCATCAAGTATGGCTCCAGTCTCTCAACCCCCGATCTTCAGCCTCCAAACCCACCGTTCCGTTATCACCCAAATTAAGCTGTAAATCATGACAGGAATGGCAAAGAAGGAACATCAATGCCCTCAGCCCGTTAGATAGCACAGAGGGAGGGCAGGGAAGCCAAACGCGTTTTAGTTGCAAGATGTTGGAAGTGTGACTCCCGGGTTAAGGATGCTTAGTTGTCGTGTTAAATGCGTTTCACAGTAGTGGTCTGGAGTGTGACATGTAACCGGTAACAAAATTAAGGAGTAGGCAGAAGAACTAGGATACCAAGCAAACCTAACTAGGATACCAGTTCTAAGCCTAAAGCCCCAAACCCTAAAGGCCAAACCTAAGTCCATTAGGGTTTAAGTTGGGTTCTTTTAAACCTAAAACCCTAAAGCCCCTAACCCTACAGCACAACCCCCAGGGTTTTTAAAACCTAAAACCCTAAAGCCCCTAATACCCTAGAGACTCTAACCCTAAAGCAAGACCCCCAGGGTTTTAAGACCATTAGGGTTTAAGTTGGGGGTTTTAATAAACCCTAACCCTAAACCCTACAGTAAGACCCCAGGGTTTAAGTTGGGGGTCCTCAGGCTTTCAGGCTCACAGGCTTTCAGCATCATCATCATCATCATCATCATTCATCATCATTCATCATCATCTACATCGGCGCTGCTGGTGCCGCTGCTGGTGCCGCTGCTGGCACCACTGGCCGGCCTCCAAGGCCGGGGTTTTAGGTTTAAAAGGTTTAGGGTTTAGGGTTGGGGTTTTAGGTTTAGTAAGTTTAAGGGTTTAAAGTTATTTGGTAATTGGGAGTTTCCGAAAATTTGGGAATCCCTGTATAGTACCTTAATGTAACAGTATCCTTGTTATAAGGACCCGGACCCCTAAGTAAGCTACCCCTAATTTTGGGAAACTCCCATCTGGGGGTAAGAGTTTATTAGGCAGGTATTGTAGGGTTTGGGGTTTCTTTATTAGGTGTAATTTGTAAGAGTTTATTAGGTATGGTAGGGTTTTGGGTTTGTTTGGGTTTGGGAGTTTAGGTGCAAGAGTTTACTTAGGTATCGTAGGGTTTTGGGTTTGTTTGGGTCTAGGAGTTTAGGTGCAAGAGTTTACTAGGTATCGTAACGTGTTGGGTTTGTTTGGGTATAGCAGCTTAGGTGCAAGAGTTTGCTAGGTATCGTAGGGTTTGGGAGGGACCGTTTGGGTCTAGGAGTTTATGTGCAAGAGTTTACTAGGTATCGTAGGGTTTTGGGTTTGTTTGGGTCTAGGACAAGGAGTTTAGGTGCAAGGTCTAGGAGTTGAAGGTTTTGAACTCTT